TCATGCTTGCACATAGATGCATATACATGCACACGTGCGTGTTAATTTACCGCTATGTTTGTGAATGTTGATTCTGAGAAAAACTGTTGATAGAAGAAATTATGCACAAGCAGCAAATAACTACCAGTGTCTTATAAATCAATCACTCAATCATTTTTTCCTATTTGCTCTTAAATAAGACCTTTATCAACATCTGGAATTTAGAAATTAAAAAAAAATTCTAAAAAGTCTTTATTTTTGTATTAATTGCTCTTGTTCATTTCTTTGTGATACAACTTATTTTTAAAATGTTGTATGTTGTTTTTAAAGATTATTACAGTCATTTGATTTTGCTTATTTATGACAAGATAAATCTTCCCTTTAAAAACTATAGGGGTGTAGCAAGCCATTCAGCTAGTTTTTTTCCCTGGACAGATTTTTTTTTTAAGTCATTAAAAAGTTCATTTTAAGTGAGCTGATATCAATGGTGCTCCAGTGTCTCTTGCACTCATTTAAACGCAGAAATCAGATGCAGTCTTACAGTTTTAATTTACCCATCTACAGGGAAAAAAATCTCGGCTAAAGTGAAGCGGTGAAAATTCAATGTTCTGAGAACTGTGACATCTAAAAGGCAAATATAAACCACGAATTCATGAAGGTGGCCTGCAATCACTAAGACATAATTGGAACTCCTGTCCTTCTTTCTCGTTGCCACACTCCACATCAAGGGGCTGCGGGCATTTGCTATTCACGTGTACTTGAAATGGCAGGCCGAGTGTGTTTTTTAACTGACACACTCAGAGCTGAATTCACAGATGCTGCCATGACTCCATCTGCACCCTCCTTCCTGGTGCAGTGCAAAGTTTGAGGGGCTGCAAACCTACAGCTGAGGCTCCAGGAATGGGAGCCCCCAAGATTGCCAGCACAGTAGATTTTCCTCCGTGCGATAGAGAAAAGCTCGAAGCAGAGTGGTTACTTGGGCACAGATCAGTAGTGACTGGGTGGCAAGACGGGCAATGATGTGGACCTGGCTGTTTAGATTAAAACATATCATGGGATCCAAGAGAAAGCACACATCAGTAGTGAAGGCTGTTTAAACCTCTGGGGACAGCCCTCTGTTTAGATTATATTAATTCATAAATATTATACTAAATACCACTTAAATTGGACTTAAATGACTTCAAAGATAATGCATTGTAATATGGCTATCCAGAGAGCACTAGTCTTTATGTCTCCCAGTAACTCAGTCTTTGCTGCCTCCTATCCTGGTAGACAGGACCAAAGTTATGAATGGATCGCCGGCTCGTTCATGTGTGATCAACTGACTCTATGCGTGTGTGTCAGCAGGCGTGTGTGTGTATGTGTCTGTGTGTGTGTGTCTTCAATCATGGTCTCTGTTCCCCAAAATATAAAAAGAAGAGTCATAAATAAAAAAATGGAAAAATGGAAGAATTAGACTGGTGGGTGACCTGTTTTCTTCTCCAAGGGAGAAAAATTCTACAAAAAGGGGCAAAATTGGTCCTCAGCTCACTTCTGCTGCTACCAAGGGAATTTGCCACCTTCTTCTTTAATCAATACTACATTGCTTTTCTCTTTGGAGCTTGGAAAAACAATCTTTCCCAAAGTGCTTCTTGTAGGGCAGAAAAGAAGACAGAGTTAGCCGGCAGAGTTTGTATTAAACTGGGTTTTCTTCCTTAGGTGTCATTTCTTTGAATTTTAATTCTAGGCTTTTATTTTTTAAATTCTTCCTTTCTCTCTCTGCCTAATACTCAGATACCACTACTTTCAATTGCTTTCTGGTCTTCAGGGGGTAAATTTTACCTGTATAGTAATGACCCCCATCACAGCTGCTATTTGCTGTTTCCTCAGCCCAACAGCCGTTCACTGATATGGCTGGGTTTGCTACACAACACCCATCCACTCCCTCCTCCACAGACTCCCAATTTGACTGGAGTAATTGCCTTTTAAGGTGCACTCTACTCAGGGCAGGTATTCCTTTAACCCTTAAAGAGCCTTCCTGCTTTAGTTACCTGCAATGGCAGGTGACCCCCAAACCCACCTGAAATCTCATGTATCTCATTTAGTTTTTGCTTTTTTCTGCTTTTCATGTTTTATTTTTCAAAGACAATAACATACATATGCCATCTGCCCTGGAGGCCAGAATGCTGTTATATCATATCTCAATTATATCCTAGCATGGTTCATTGGAAGTTAGAAATTTAAGAAGAGAGTAAGAACCACGAATATTCCCTGAAACCAGACTTAACAAAGACACAATTGTATCATTAGCATCATGTTGTCAATTTAGAAATGAGGAAAATCTAGAAGCCAAATGCAATCTTCATTCCTCAAGACTCATCATGCTTTTTTGACTTAACAGCAATTAATCACCAATGGCAAGCGAGTAATTTTTTTAAGGTGGCTGGAGGCTTATTTTATTAGGATTAGCTAATAAATCAGACTGCATTACTGAAGGAGGAGTTCAAACTCTTCTAGGATTGAATAAACCAGACCTTGGAAACTATCTCATTTATTCAGCTCTCCCAGAGCTTTTAGGCATCGGTGGGGACACTGTGACCCAACCTCAACTGTAAAAATCAGAGGGATGGAAGGGCAGGAAGTTTCATGGGGGGAAAAAATCCACATTCAGGTTCTGAATGGTGAGCTGCGGCAAGGCACCTAGTATAAGAGAATAAATGGGCCTGTAAGTGAGACAGTTTTGGGGAAGAATTATTTGGAAAATGAAGTTTTTCTTATCCTAGGAATTCTGGGCCTGTGTGTGTGTGTGTGTGTGTGTGTACCTTTTCTCTACCTTCCTGATGGAGTCGGTGAAAATTCTAGTTCTTTGCTATAATATCAAAGTCCAAATTATATCAGAAACAAAGTCGTGTCAGCAAAGGATTGTTGAGAAGAAAGCACAGAATAGTCTTAAAGTTCATCTTCATTTGAAATAAAGAAGCAAAGTACTCCAACCCAGATCCCAAGATCCCACAACAAGGCTAGCTTTTCACAACTATCTTTTTCTTCCAGTAGGTTCTAATTTTCATTTTTTTAAACTTTCAAATTTTAAATCACCAGAAGAACTGCTATTAAAATTTTTATTATTACTGTTTTAGAAACCAGGGGCATATTAGAATGACAAAGGCTTGACACTGAACCTTGATTAGCTTGCTTCTAGGGAAAAACTACAAAGACACGGTTGACTTAAGAGGGAGGGGGGAGAGAAAGTGTCTGCTTCCTTTTCTTTGAACATCATTTCAAAGACTGCTTCTCCATTCCATCCTTCCAATTTCCCTTCTGATCAGACAGACATTTTCTCCATATTGGATAAAGGTTGGCTTCTCTCACCGTTACAGCCCCCACCCTCACCCCACCCCAACAAATCCAGTATATTTCCATTCTGCTGTGTTTCCGTGCTACTCAACATGCCATTAACTTTAAGATTTACTCCTCAGCAGGCAAGCTGGAAGATGCTAAAACCAATAAAAACTGCTCTCTGGGACTCCAACTAGGAAGAGTTTGGAGCTCTGTTTAGTATTCGCATGAAGGGAGGGCTGGAGAAGGAGGATGGTTGTGATAGTGAAAACCGCTGCTTCTCGGAGAGACAGGCGGCTCCGCGCTCTGCACCTAAAGTGCTGGAGGATCAGCTCCGCTCACAGCCCATTTGTGGCCAAGGAAGAGGCTTGCTCTCTCTGTGGGGGTGGGTGCGTGTGTGTGTTTTCATCTCTGAAACCACCAGCCCTAGCACAGCTCTCCACACTACTGTTTATTAAAATTGGAACATCCATACACATCCCCTACAACTTCCTTAGCCCCGTGCTCCTTCCCTCCCTGGCGATCAATCTCTCTCAGAAAGCATTTGACTTGCCCACACAGCTCCAGCACCGATTAATCCCCGCTGCACATCCTATACATTACTGTTAGGGAGCGGAGCACTGGGCTAATTCCGTCACCCACCAGCCACCCACACACATTCTACAACTGAACACGTTCAGAGCTCTGCCTTAAAGATAATAAAACAAGGGGAAAACAGGCACTGTGCAGATGATCCCCATGACCACTTTCCTAAAAAGTTGCTGGATTTTAATTCTTTGATTATTTTGTCTCCCCCTCCCCCAAGCACTCAATAGCAATGATTGCTTCAAGGGTGGGATAAGGTGCTATCAAGCTTGTAGCATGGTGAGTTTGTGATAAATTAGGGTACACTCTTCAAAATGCATATCTTGCACACACAATTTCCCCCAAGCATTGTTTTCTGGGGAAAGGGGGCCTTCCAGGTTCCCCAGGATCCCCTACTTCGCCCAGGGGATGACTGGTTCCTTGCTAATTCTTGCCTTAGGTTTTTATCACTCCTTTCCTTCCAACATCCAACCTCCCCCTGCCTCCCCCACATCACCACTCACACCACAACCAGATTACTAAGGCGCACAGCTCGACAGGGAGAGTTTACTGTTAAATTTATAGCGAAATAAAAATATCTCTTTGAATTTGTCACCTTTTCCCCTCTTTTAGACGGCTGCTGCGCTCCTACTACTCTGGCCGGAGTGGAGGATGAGACAGTCGTCCGCCGCCACTGTTTTCAGCACCACGCCGATGGACAGCACCCCGGGTACCCAGCTCGCCAGCGCCCGCCAGTTCTCTCGGCGCCCAGGGCTCTGCCGGCGCAGCCGTCCCCATCCCAATCTTTCAAGTCGCTATTCTACCCACAGCCCAAACCTCATCCCCTCCCCTCGATCCTCTTTCTCTTTCTCTTCATCTTCTGCGCCCGCTGCTCTCCCCAATGGCACCGCTCATCGCCCAAAACCAAGCCTTGCCCCAGCGAACAGCTCCCCACGCACCCCAGCTTGGGTGTCCGCTGCCCGGGCGAGCGCCTCCCATCTCGGCGCCCGCCGGAGGCTCCCTCTCGCTCCGTGCTTCGACTCCCGCTCGTCCGTCGCCCGCCCGCCCGCCCGCCGGCCGGCCGGTTGGCCCGCCCGCCCGCTCCTTCTCCCAGCAAAGTTGGGAGGGAAAGGTGCACTCACCTTTGTGCATTCCTGTGAACCTGTCCTTCAGAACCGTAAGCTCGTAGATTTTGCCGAACTCCTCGAAGAGGGGCTTGAGGTCTTTCTCATCCAGGTTTCGGGGGATCTGCCCAATGAACAGCTTGATGGCATCATGGTCCTTCATGGGAATGGTCGACGGGTTCCCCGGGCTGTGGCTTAATCCGTTCATGTGCCCGGCGCTGCCCGGGCTGCCGCCGAGCCCGTTGCTACTGAGGCTCGCGTTGTCAGCCTGTCCGTTTGCTAACGTGGCCATCTTTATATACATAGAGAAAAATCTTCTTTCCTTTTATTCTTCCCCGCTCGCACTCTCGCCCCTCTCCTGCCCGCTCGCTCGCGCTCACACGCACACGCACACACTCGGGCTCTCCTCGCTCGCTCCACACCTCGCTCTCCGCTCGCTCTTTCTCCTCTTGGCTCGCTCGCTCGCCCGCGCTCGCGCTCCGCTCCCCCCTCGCCCTCCCTCCCGCTCGCCCTCCCTCCCTCTCTCTCTTTCCCTCTCCCTCTCTCTTCTCTCTCTCTCTTCTCTCTCTCTCCTCTCTCTCTCTCGCTCTCGGGTTGATCTGATTTTTTTTTTTTTTTTTTTTTACATTGAACAGACAGGATCCCTGTCCTTTCCGTTTAAACAGCCTGGACCGGTTCAAGTTCCCGGCCAGACCAGGGGTGGGGGCGGCGCGCGCCCGCGCGGAGGAGGGGGCGCGGGGCCGGGAGCGGGCGCGCCGGGCCGGGGGGCGCGCGGGAGGCGGCGGCGGGCGGCGGCCGGGGGTGGCCGGCTTGGGGCGGCGCCGGCCCGCGCCTCGCGCCCGGCGGCCCCGCGGGCGGCGGTGGTACGGTCCGCGCCGGCCCCGGCTATAAATAGTGCGGGGCGCATGGCTCTTCGGGAGGCGCAGAGAGTCTGGGCTCGGCGGCCGCGGGGAGCAAGTGCCTGTAGGAGCCGGCCAACCGGCCTCCTCCCTCTGTCTTTGGGGGGGTTCCTTTTTTTTTTTTTGGTAATAGCAGCAGGTGCAACTTTTTGTATTTCTTTCTTTCCGTTTTTTAAATATTGACTTTCACGTTCGTGTGGGTAGGTCGGGGGGCGTTATTCACGGAGCTGAGCTCTATCCGGGCGCCAGGCGGGCGAAGCCGAGGCAGGGATGGCGGGCGGGGCGGCGGCGAAGGCGGCGGAGGTGGAATGGGCGCTTTTCTCTCCCATCTGGCTCCATTTATTTATTTATTTAGACTAGAAAAAAAAGCGAGCTGGTTTGGAGGGAGTCCGCCCAGTGATCCGAGTGCGCATTGATCAGTGTCGAGAGAAAAAAAAAAGCAACATAAATATATATTATGTGGATAAATCTGCAGACAAGAGCTCTCTCGTGCACGCGTCCGTTCCCCGGTTCTCTCCGGTTCTCTCCCTCTGCCTGTTCCCTCCCCGCGTCCCTAACCTGCCAGAGCGGCTCCAAATCTCCCTCCCGCCCGGTGGCCAAGGCCACTTGGTTCACCTGGGAGGGTGGGACTTGGGGGACCGTGGGCCGTGCCAGGAGTGCGGCGGGTGGGGGGCGTTGGGGGAGTGGAGATCCGGGGTTGGAGCCCCGTTCCACCCGCCTCCGAAGGCGGGAGGTGGGTGTTCCCGTCCCGGACGGTCTCTCCCGCCGCGGGGAGCGGCGGCTGGCCCGGCCCGCGGCTGGCGGGAGGAAGGTAGGAGCCCGGCGCTCTGGCCCGCTCGCTCGCTCGCTCGCCGGGGAGGGAGGAGGGTGCGGCGTGGCCGCTGGCAAGCCAACGCTAGGCACGGGCTTGATTTTGCCCTCAATCTCTTTACCGGTTCAAATTGATCCACCTCCCCCCACCCCATTTTCCTTTAATCCACCATCAAAGAAATAAAGCCCCAGACTCGCTAAGCGGGCTGCGGTGGTTCCCAGAGCTGTGTGCGCTGCCCTCTTGGGTTGTGTTTGCAGCACCTCCACCTCCAGAGGTGCGAGGCGGGGAGTCACGTCTGCTGGCTGGAGCCGGGGTCAGGCACCCCTCCTGGACCCTGTCAGACTCCCCGCTGGGCCAGCCGGAGCTGCCTCCTTCACTGTGCGGCCAAAGGAGTGGAAGGCGCGGAGGTCCACTGGAGCAGCCCCTGGGGTGAACTTGGCTAGGCGGCATTTATCGCACCCAATTCCCTTCCACATCTGCTTTCTCAGGACAGCCTCTTCTGGGCTTCAGAAGCTGGGCAAATTGAAATAACGCACCCGCTCCCCCAACGGGCAGGCTTCGGGGCTGGGAGCTAAGGTGGCTGGTGGAGCTGCCGACCTTTCCTTGCTGGCCGGCCGTCTTTCTGGTGTTCCGGGCTTCTCTTTTCTTGCCCTCGGATTGCATTCCGTTCCTAGACGATCTGCTTAAAATTGCATCCAAAGAAATGAGATCCCAGCTGCCTGAAACCCCAGGCCAAGCCCAGGTGGTGCAGCCACAGCGTGGAGGTCTCCAGCGTCGGAGGAGGCCAGAGGTTCCGGGTTTCCTGGTCCCAGGCCCGAGCCCACTTGGGACGCCTCTCCCTAAGGATCGGGGGCCCAAAGCAAGCAGCAGGTACAATTCTGAGAACTGTTGAGCTTAATATATATATTTGGTTAGATTCTCGTGCATTTGCTGGATGGAGTCCTGTATGAGTATAGTTAATGCCTAACTCCATTTGCTAGCCGTAGGGCACCTGTTCCAGCATGGTGCATGGGTCTGTGAATGACTCAAGTTGAACGAATGGAAATAAAACTTGGGTGGGAGTCCCTGAGCCATGGCTGTGTGCTTGACGTGCTTGGGAAGTGCCAGGGAGGAGGTGGGCATCTCCTTGGTGAGCCCCTGAGGGTTGGTTTGCCTGTGGCTTGGAGGTGTGTGTGTTTGTCTCGTCAGGATGTATGCTTGCTGGAGCAATGGAGTGTCACCAAGTTGTGCCTGCAGTCAGTCTGTGTGCAGCTACTGAGCTGAGACCTCCCCTCCCCTTCTCTTTTCTGCTCATCCCCAGCCTGCCTACATCAGCAGTGGTCAGTAACTATCTGAAACAGCTCCTCCAGACGTGGTCTTGCAGTACTGTGCTGGCCTCCCAGGATCTCACAAGCTGAGTGGGAAGGTACTTCCTGTCACCCGGAGGGAGTGGATTTAGGAGAGAAATTCCTGCCTGAGGTACTTCTCTCCCTGGCCCCCTGCAGCACTCAGCAAGGCTGTGACAGTGGACTATGATGGGAGCCAGCGAGGGCAGCTGGAGAAGGCGTGCTCTGATTAGGGTAGGGTTACTCAGGTTCATGTTCTCTTCCTCTTGCCCCTCAACCCCAACCATCCCCATTTGCAAGCAGAATATTAGCAGGTGTTCGATTATTTATATTATCATTAAGAATAATAGGCACTGCAAAATTAAGAGTGGTGTGAGCAGGAGTGAGGTTGTTCGCCAAAGGGGCCTCCCTGATTGTTTCAGATGCCTGTAGAATCCTCTTGGGCTGTACATTGCTTGCTCGCCCCTGGCCCAATGCCTCTGAGCTGAGTCCACTTGCGGATCCAAAGCTGTGAAGAGGTCCTTCTTCCTAGTGTGGAGCTTGCCCACCTTCCCTTCACTCCCCGATGAGTTGCAGTCTGGGCTGTCTCCCCTTAGGGGGTAGCACGTCCTGCCCTCTGCTCTCACTCTCTGGCAGGGGTGTGGTGAAATGACCCACCTTCCTGCAGCTTGCTGGGGCTGAGGTAGCCAGGGAGTCAGGTCCTCATAGGTGAGGCTGCTCCAGGCAGACAGCAGCCGAAGCAGCTTTGGCCAGGGCTCGGATCTCTTAAAGGGACAGAGCTGAGCTTCATGGGCCTTGTGGGTTCCCACCCTTCCATCGCAGCCGAGTGTGGGGGCATCACACAGCTGAGGCAGGTGTATTAGACCAAAGCAATAAAGGAGCAGGTGGGGGGAAAGAGTGTGGGACATGGGTAAGTTTATTCTTTGATGTCTTCACCCTTGATATCCAGGAAGACTTGAGTTAATTTTTTAACCTTAGGTTATCAAAAAGAAATGTAATTAGGGGAAGATGGGGGCACAATATTATGCACTATGACATTTAAGCAGATTTAAAACTTTTCTCTGAGTGCCAATGCTTGGCCACAATTATTCTATCCATTGAAAGAGTCGGAGAATGAAGTGGAGCTGGGACAAATTGCTTTTCATTTCTCTCTGGGCTTGGGACTCAGTCTGGTTAGTGATGTATCTGTGTGGATATGAGGAAGTGTGGGGGGAGATGTGTAAGGGGGAGGAGTTGGTTTGGTTCAAGAGGCGAGTTTCTGGGCCTTACCCTTGCCTCTTGCTCTCTTTCTTCCCTGTACCCCTGTGTGCCCTCAAGAAGGGCAAAAAGGAGCCCTTCCCCCTATGTTCAGGTTCCCTAACTAGCTGGAATACCCATCACTCCTTTTGCTCCTGCCCCCGGGATTTCTGACCCTTGCCATATACCATCACACCTGCTCTGGCTCTCCTGCCTTGGCCTCTTCACTCTCCATCCAGGCAATAAACTTGGGTAGGGCAGAAACTTAGTAGTCTGGTCTTGCCTCTTCTGCAACTTCTCTGGATAATGATTGGGACATAGCAGGTGCCCAGGATCCAGTTTAAAAATGCCCATGGCTCATCTGAACATTACATCCATTCATCTGGCCTAAGGAGGGGGTGCCACGGGGTCCCAAGCTGACACTTACCTAGCATGGTGACAAGCATAGACAGTTCAGGACACACCTTTGTGGCTTGGAGACCCCACACGCTCTCAATCATTCTTGTTGTTCCTCCAACCCTTCCAGTTCCCCTGCTGAAAGCAGTGAGGAGGGACAGGTCTGCAAAGAACTCACTGTCTAGTTAGAGAGACCAAAGACACATCAAGTGAAAGGCCCCAGAACAGCAAAAGGCAACAGATGGTTAAATGTCTTCCAGGCCCGAGGAGATCCGCATATGAGAAAATAGACAACAATCCAAGTTGCCTGCGATGATCTGCGAGGCGGGCAGTAGCCTAGAGGAAAGAGGGGCGCTGGGGAAGGCAGGATACAGAGGGTGGGGGAGCATAGAGCTGGCGGGCTGCCTGGACTAAGGATGAGGAGGCAAAGAAGGCCGGCTCTCCAGTGTGAGGGTGAGACCAAGCTGAAAACAGAACAGCAAGCTGCACAGGGTTGCTTTCATCACGGGTTCAGATCTCCAAGCAAATGCCTATGTGGGATGAGGCTAAGGATTGCAGGGGATGCAGGAGACAGGCAGTCTCTCCTGCTGTTCGTAAGATACTCAGTCTCCTGTTTGGGCCAAGAGGAGTGAACATCCAAGGCTATGATTCAACCCAGGGACAGAGTGAAAGGTGTAGGCCATGTGTGGGGACAGTGACAACCATAGAGGACT